GGACTTCGAAGAGGGACTCCAGAGGCAAAAACCATGGATTTCCTTTAGGCTTTCTGACGATTTAGGGGTTCCCGCCTTTTCGTATTGAAAACGGCTACACACGGCCCTGGGGGCCTCCGAGGTCGCCCCCAAACCTTCCCCAGAGGTTTCCTAACGGTCCTAGAGCGCCTCAAGACGGCCAAGGAGAGCCCCAAGACGAGCCAAGGAGGGCCCCACAGAGGTCCAAGAGCCTCCCAGGAGAGCCCCGAGAGAGCCACAGGAGGCTCACAAGAGGGCCCCGAGAGCGCCCCAAGCTGGCTCAAGGCCCCCAAGACGGTCCAAGAGGACCCCAGAAGGCACCCAAACGGCCCCAAAGACCCCCAATAGGCCTCAAGAGGCACTCCGAGATGCCTCCAAGAGCCTCTTACGAGATCCCACCCGAGCGAACCGTGCCGTCAAATGCTTTGACTGCCAAGGCTCTTCGGAGCGGACGGTGACATAACACCTCAGATCACCACCGCGGCCGTCTTATCGTGACTCGCACCCTAGTTTGCTTCATCAAGCATACATGGCAATCCCTATGTCCAAATCGCTGCCGCGTAAACGGCCGTCGAACCCCCGAGACCGTGTGAAATGTCCGCTCCACGGACCCGCTCTTTCCGTTCCCGTGCCGGCCCAGGTTTCCAGCACGCCTCTCAGGGGGCCATGTTGGCTGCTTCTTCGGCCGAAGATGCCCCCAAGACGGCTCAAGACAGCTCCAAGACGGCCCAAGAGAGGCCCAAGAGGTCCCAAGGCGGCTCAAGAGCGCTCCACGAGGGGCGACGATGGGCCCACGACGGCCTCAAGAGGCCCCCCAGACGGCCCAAGAGGCCCCCACGAGGACCGTCAAGAGGTATTCCAGAGGGACAACTCACTGATCTTCGTAAGGTTTTTGATGTTTTTTTTGTTGGGGTTCTCGCCTTCGCGGCCCACAAACGGCCGCAGACAGCCCTGGATGCCTGCGGGATCTCCCCAAAAGGCTCCCAGAGGCTCCAAGAGGGCTTCAAAACGGCCCAAGAGCGCGTCAAGATGGCCCAGGAGGGCCCAGAGACAGCACAAGGAGGGCCCCACAGAGCCCCAAGCGGCTCCGAGAAGAGCCCCCACGGTGGCCACAGGAGGTTCCCAAGAGGGCCCCAAGAGCGCCTCAAGCCGGCCCAAGCCCCCCAAGACGGTCCAGGACGGCCCCAGGACGGCTCGAGAGGGCCCCAGAGCGTGCCAAGAGGGCCCCGAAGTTGACGCAAAGAGTCCCAAGAGGCAAGATGCCTTCCAGAGCTTTCCACTGTCCCTCGCTCCGGCCTCCAGCACGGAGCACGCCCGCTGGCTATACAATGTGTGAAATGTCCTATCCACTTTGATTCACCCCGTCCTTGTATCCTTCGCCAATGCACTCTCTCAGTCCTCCTCTCTCCTCTTTCCCCTCTTTCCCCTCTGCCGCCCTCCCCTTCACGGTGGCTGTCTTAAGGCGCCTCGCCCTCCAGTTTGCTCCAACACTTATGCATGATGACCCCCATGCCAAAACCGCTGCCGCGTAAACGGCCGCCAAACCCCTGTGGCCATGCTCAAACGTCCGCTCCATAGAAGCGCTCTTTCCGATCCCGTGCAAGCCCAGATCAAGCAGAGAGGACGTGCGCGATGCTCTTTCACGCCCTTCTCTCACAAGCGGCGAAGGCTTCGGCCCTCAGTAGCCGCGCGTGTCTTGAGAAGGTTCGCATGTCTCGCTACATCAGCAGCTCTGCCTGCCTCGTCCAGGGGCTCAGAGAGCCGATGCTGGACTTTTTATGCTGTGCTGGGCGCGACAGGGCTTGGCTTGAGCCACCCCTGTCGCCGCACAGCGTGCCCTCAGTCTCGGCACATCGTTGTCCGTTGTTGTCATCCGCTCACTGTTGGAGTCTTGCGATATGGAGCTGAGTCCAGGGATGAGAAGTTAACCATCAAATCACTCCACGCCGAAGGCACACTTGTGGAGGTCAGGACATGCACTACCAGCTGAGGCCTCGGAATCTACTTCGGTCTGAGCACGCATCGGGGATCAGGAACGCTTGGAGCACGTTGAGCATTGCGTTGGTTTCGCCTGCCATGTTCAAGCAGAACGGACGTGCGCGAGGCTCTAACACGCCCTTCTCTCGGAAGCGGTGAAGGCTTCGGCCGTCAGTAGCCGCGCGTGCCTTGAGAAGGTTCGCATGCCTCGCCACAGCAGCAGCTCTGCCCTGCCCCGTCCAGGGGCTCAGAGAGCCGATGCTGGACTCTTCATGCTGTGCTGAGCGCGACAGGGCTTGGCTTGAGCCACCCCTGTCGCCGCACTGCGTGCTCCCAGTCTCGGCACATCATTGCCCGTCGTTGTCTTCCGCTCACTGCTGGAGTCTTGCGATACGGAGCTGAGGCCAGGGATGAGATTTAACCATCAAATCACTCCACGCCGAAGGCAAACTTGTGGAGGTCAGGACATGCACTACCAGCTGAGGCCGCGGAGCCAGTCGGAGTACGCATCGGGGATCAGGAACGCTTGGAGCACGTTGAGTCTTGCGTTCGTTTGGCGAGCCATGTTCAGGCAAGGTGATCATGCGCGAGGCTCGAACGCGCCCTTCTCTCGGAAGCGGTGAAGGCTTCGGCCGTCAGTAGCCGCGCGTGCCTTGAGAAGGTTCGCATGCCTCGCTACATCAGCTCTGCCTGCTCCGTCCAGGGGCTCAAATAGCCGATGCTGGACTTTTTATGCTGTGCTAGGCGCGACAGGGCTTGGCTTGAGCCACCCCTGTCGCCGCACTGCGTGCCCTCAGTCTCGGAACATCGTTGTCCGTTGTTGTCATTTGCTCACTGTTGGAGTCTTGCGATATGGAGCTGAGGCCAGGGATGAGAAGTTAACCATCAAATCACTCCACGCCGAAGGCAAACTTGTGGAGGTCAGGACATGCACTACCAGCTGAGGCCGCAGAGCTAGCCCGAGTACGCATCCGGGATCAGGAACGCTTGGAGCACAGTGAGCCTTGCGTTCGTTTGGCGAGCAATGTTCAAGCAGAACGGACGTGCGCGAGGCTTCTCTCGGAAGCAGTGAAGGCTTCGGCCATCAGTAGCCGCGCGTGTCTTGAGAAGGTTCGCGTGTCTCGCCACATCAGCAGCTCGGCCTGCCTCGTCCAGGGGCTCAGGCAGCCGATGCTGGACTTTTTATGTTGTGCTGGGCGCGACAGGGCTTGGCTTGAGCCACCCCTGTCGCCGCACAGCGTGCCCTCAGTCTCGGCACATTGTTGCCCGTTGTTGTCATCCGCTCATTGTTGGAGTCTTGCGATATGGAGCTGAGGCCAGGGATGATCAATGAACTATCAAATCACTCCACGCCGAAGGCACACTTTTGGAGGTCAGGACATGCACTACCAGCTGAGGCCTCGGATCTAGCCCGAGCACGCATCCGGGATCATAATCGCTTAGAAGACGTTGATCCTTGCGTTCGTTTGCCGACCCAGGGAGGACATCCCGCATGCGGAATGACCTCATTATTTTCTGAAGCATTTCTTCGAGGCGCAGTCGTGCCAGGCAGTTGCAGGTTTCCTTCCCTGCAATATTTAACGGCGTGCCCCGATACATGTGCCTGCGCCGATGTTTGATACTCACATGCAGTCGCGCCTCTGTATGAAACGTCTAGAACGCGATGGGTAGAACATGTGTAGCACACTGGAGCCAGCGACTAGAATCCAAGCGCGCGCGAAGCGCCCGCGTGGCTCTAGTAGATGTATGGACGTTGGCATGTATGCTCTCGTATGTATTTCTGTATGCATGCATGCATGTGTGTGTAAGCACATGAGACTACGTAGAATCAGTGACGGGGGGCCTAGGCACAGGTGGTCCCACTTTCCCGAAGCGCCCCTGTCCCCAGCAGTCCGGGAGCCCCCTTGGGGCCTTTCTGGGGGCTATCTTGGCCTCAGGAGGCTTGCAATATGGTTCACGAGGACGTCAGAGGCCGTCTTCCCGAAGAGGGTCGGAACACACTCCAGGAAGACCCCTCGAAGACACTCACATCCCATGCTGGCCCGCTCAGATATCCACCCACACTGGCCCTGGACAGCTCGAGTGTCCCCAAGGCCTCACCCACTGCATCCGAGACCACCTCTTATGGGTCCGTGGGTCTCTGTGATGTGTTTGTTTTATGAATACGGTATGTTCGTGCGGCAATGGCCCGCCGACGACGCCGGCGACGGCGTTCAAGGTTGAATTCTGCGACGCTGAAGCACTGAGGGACACGGTGACGCCTCTGGTCCCGACGGAATTCAACCTTGAACGATCAGGGCCGCCATCGATTCAAGGTTGAAAGAGCGACGAGGTGCCAAAAACCTTTGCGCACGCCGACGCTGCACGAACCTACCGTACTTCGCAGATTCGCTCTGGACCCAGGCCCGGGTCTTCTTGCGGTTGATTGGACGGCTCCTCGGAGGAGCCCAGGACCCAAGCGCGCGCGAAGCGCGCGTGGTTTTGGTACGCATGTACTCCTAATTTCGTAATGAAGGGAGGGGGGTCTCATTTCGGGGGGGGTCTCTTCCAGGCTATCTTGGAGGGCCTGGGGGGTCTGGGGACGATGTTTTGGAGGGTTCTCCCACGGGGGAGGTCTGAAATGGCTTGTCTTGTCCAGACCCCCTCCCTTTGATTACGAAATCTGGAGGATCTTCTGAGGTCCCCGCGGACTTCCTGGCTCGCGGCTGAACAAAGTACATCCGCGCGGACTTCGGCATTTTCTGTTTCTGCCGTTTGTCGTGCCTCTATTCGAGGCCCTGGCCGTCCTCGTACAGTAGGGGTCTTGAGGAAGGAACCCTTTTCGTTGGGGAGGGGCTCCGCGTTCCTTAAGTGTTTCACAGCTTGCCTCAGGTTTCCCTTAGGTTTTCGATAGGGAATCGAAGGTTAACTTATGGAAAAAGGGGCCTCGTTCCTTATTTAGGAGGGTTCCTTAGGTCAACGCCCCGACTGTATCGAGGCAGGACGAGGCGGGGGAGGGCCGCCAGGTGAACGTCCACCCGGCGCTGTTCGAGGCCGACCTGCTTCGCGAGGTCGACCCCGAGCACCCGAAGACGCGCTGCCGCGTGGGCGCCAACAAGGCGGCGTGCCGCTCTGCAGATGGGAGGGCGGGAGGAGGAGGAGGAGGAGGAGGAGGAGG